TGCAACATAGTGAAACGAATCTCTGTTCTCTGTACCTTTTTCGTTCAACTCATTTAGTCAAGCTACGTTAGTGAAGCTAATAGTTAGGACGCGCATCCGTTTCCTTGGTAAGGCCACAAGTGGAAGCAACCGATGCTTTGATCATTCAATGCTGCCAGTCCGTGCTTTCTGTCATGCTGGGGTTTCGGTAAGGAACTCCAGTTTGACGGTTTTACCTACTATTGGATTTGAACCAATGACTCTCGCCGTATGAAAGCGATACTCTAACCGCTGAGTCAAGTAGGTCAAGCTGAGTCAAGTCAGAGAAAATAGACCCAGCAACAAAAACTATACAAACAAGGGCGGCGGAGCGAAAGCGTTATCACTATACGAAATGCAGCAGCGGCTAGCACGCTAAGCTAAGATCAACCAATGTTCGAATCGGTTGAACGAACGAAGTTGCTAGAGTGTAACGATTCGTTTCAAATGAGTGTAACTATGTTACCTATGTGAATTCGTTGACAGAGAACAGAGATTCGTTTCACTATGTTACACTCATTCGGAAAGCACGGACGAGCCACATGCAGGGAAACTTGCACGTGTGGTTCTGGCCGGGGACCCCCCGGTATACTGTACTAATATGTGTAGGTTCCCGTAATTCGAGTGAGATTGTCATGGCGCAAAAGCAGATATGGTCCGGTATTCCCTTGTTCCCTGTATTGGTTATGTTCTTTATTTCTCGTCTAGCAGAAACTAATCGAGCTCCATTTGATCTCCCAGAAGCGGAAGCTGAATCAGTTGCAGGCTATAATGTAGAATATGCGCGGGATGCGATCCTTAATAGTTCACTTTTGGCGGAAGCCAATGTCCCGGGATCCCGGGGACTCATTCTGACTGAAACAAGGGGCGGGTCTTTACCAACTTCCAAATATTCTATATATTCTATTTTAGGAACGTAGTCGCTAGAGAATTCGTTGAACTATGTTCAACTCATTTGAAAGAGGTACGACCAAAGGGAGTTGGGTAAAGCAAACTCTCTCCTTGGAGGAGCACGGGCTTAGTCAAGTAGAACCGGGTTGCGCTGCTTGATGTTCCGATCGAAAACAAATCAGTGGGGCCATGCCGGTACGACTGAATATGCGTTAGAAAGCCCCTACGAAACCGGGCCGAACTTATAACCCGCCCGCTTCCATAGAACAATATCGTGGCAACGTAGACCTAAGTGGTAATATTGGATCCTTGGGAACCATCACAAGTACGGCCGGCCTATATTTGAACGAAAATGCCGTGTCGTCCAGCGGAGCCTAGAAGAAGGTGACTCGCGCAGACAGCTGACTCCTTTTCAATAGAAAAGAATAGCCAAACCAACCCAGCTGGCTGGTCAATCTCAGAGATCTTATCGGCCGGCAAACCGGAGACGGGCGACCACGGTCCCGACCTTACCAGCACCTGAGGTGTACTAATCAATGAAGCCCCGAAACCTACTTTATTTGAAACCAAAGGAGAGATTCGTTTCACTATGTGAAACAACGAACAACGAATAGTTCAACTCATTCGAAGAGGTACGACCAACGGGAGTCGCTAGAGAATTCGTACCTCTCCCATAGGTCGTACCTAGAGATTCGTTTCAAACGTTGAACTATGTTACACTCATTTCGTTGAACATAGTTCAACACTATGTGAAACAACGAACAACGAATCGTTTCAAATGAGTTCGTCTAACTACGTTCAACTCATTTGAAACGAATTCTCTAAGGCTTTGGAGTTTGAATACGCTACACAACTATGAAAGAAACTGTTTACCAGAGGGAATCTCGGAGGATGATTGAGCTACACCCATTTCATAGCCCTCCATTGGGCATTGTCTCATTGATAGCAGAGATAGCCGTCTCCATCGAGCCTTAGA